CAATCAAAATTTGCATGAATTTATTTTCAACAACCAAAAACTGAATTTTCAGTTACAAAACTTGCTGAAAAGTAACTGAACTTTCAACTCATTTTGAACACTGTTGAGCTGCTTGATGGGCTTGAAGTCCCGTTTCTTCATGTAGATTTTGAAGCTAAATGGGACTTTTTGCATCTATCGTCCGCGTGACTGTTGAAACTCTGAATACAGCCCGACCCTTTGGAAGACCAGGGTATTCTGCATAAAACACCTTTCGCATCCAAAAGCCCTAATCTGGCCCAATTTAGAGAAAAATGGCATTTTATGCGGAAAACCATGAATACGAAAGGAGCAACTTGCATTAGCTCCATTATTTGAAGGGTCAATTGTTGCTTTTTTAACGTGTTTTTCAGTTGGAAAAGTGTCTGCAAAAGACGAAGGAAAACTTCGTTGAACTAAGTTGCTCCTCTCCTATCATTTCCGCATAAATTGCCATTTTTTCGGAAACTGCTGGCATCAGAGCTTTTAACTAAGAGCTCATTTTTGTAGAAAAAAACACGGCTTTTCAGAATATATTTTTAAATTCCCACTCATTGGCGGCCATAAATTCGCTCTAGACAACAACCCGGAAATTCCCCAAGTCTTCAATCAATTTTCTGAGTTAAACTTGAGCCTCCGCATGTATAGAGCAAGAAAATAGGGCAACATAACAAGGCATTTTCATTGCATTAACCATCACTCAAAACTGCCCAGTTCCGATATGCAAAACACCAATCGATTCGCACAGTCATCGGCAGTGGAACCGGAAAAGTTTGATGCAAATTTCACGTTTGGCGATATAAAGCTGGTTGAACCGCACAATTTCCATGGCAGTTTTTTGGTGCAGAAGAGCCGAAAAAACCTGTCGGCGCTCTTATGGAAATAGAGCAACTGTAACAAGCCAACGTAAAGCCCCAGAGCATTTGAACGGGCTCAAAGTCAACATAAAGCCGTTTAAAAGATGCTCCAAAGTTCGGAGTTCCCGCAGAATTATTCTGGACCGAAATAGCGCTCCACCCTTCTATCTGAGGCCGAATATATTCAGGTTAAACTATTTCGAAGGGAGGAAATTTATATAGGGGTTGGGGAGACGCAACACGAGCCGGCAACGACGCTGAAGCATAACTGGCACATAAATTTCGGTAATTACCGAAAATATTGCCAACTATAATAAAGACGACGGTTTACCTAATTCCAATATAGAGAAAATAGTCTATAAATTATCTAAGCTCCATCTTTCAGTCTTTCATAGTTTCTCTATGTCCATTAGATTGAATAACTTTTGTCTCAATATGGAAAATAGCACTTTTCTAGTTAGAATGAACTGTATGTCCAAATTGGGCGATTTTAGGCATTTAATTACTCCCGACCGTAAACAGTTTAAGAGAAATTGATTAATTATCTTGTTTTTCTCTCGAAATATGCCCCGATTAAGGGACATAATTTGAAAATTGGACCGTTGCTTATGATGTATAATAATAATAATAATATAAGAATAGCTGGAGTAAGGTGTTTTAGTGCCAGGTCTTAATCGACTCGAATTATTTATGGCAAAAAGCCATGGAAAAGCTTAGCAAGCCACTATAATTCCTTGTCTAGAGCCAGCTAAAGTTGCGAGAAGATTCTGGCAAATCCAGGTCAATAACTTCCCCTAGAAATCCAAGATATATTTTACGGGGTGGAAAGTCCGCGTCTATCAAGAATTCAGCTAATCTGGATTAGGGAGCTCTGTGATTTGGGGGGTTTTGTGCAAATAGAGCCAATCATTGAGCTAGTTTTATCCACGAATCGCTTATTCATTAAATAAATTAAAGGAAACTTACATAAGCTGCTTGATTAACTTCATTGGACGTTTGCAGTAAAAAAGAGCGTAACTTAAGGCTCTACCCCTCAAAGGCAACTAGAGCTTAACACCCCAATCAGTTGTCAAATTTTGGGGCAAAAACATAGAGCGGTACTAAAGGTCCAAATTTCAGCACAATTTTCGCATTTTGCGTGAAAACCAGAAGTAAATCTAGAATGACATTTAACATCAAAAAGAGTATAATTTAAGGCTCTATCCGACAAAGGCAACTAAAGCTTGGCAGCCCAATCGGTTTTTAAATTTTGAGGCAAAAACAGAGCGGTACTAAAGATCCAAATTTCTTCACAATTTTCACATTTTGCGCTAAAACCAGAAATAATTCTATAATGAACTTTGACATCAAAAAGAGCATAATTTGAGGCTCTATCCGACAAAGGCAAATAGAGCTTCGCACGCCAATCAATTTTCAAAATTTAAGGCAAAAATTAAGAGCGGTTCTTTAGATTGAAATGTCTGCACAATTTTTGCATTTTGCGTGAAAACCAGAAATAATTCTGGAATAACCTTCGAAATAAAAACGAGCATAATTTAAGGCTCTATCCGACAAAGGCAACTAGAGCTTCGCTCCCCAATCAATTTTCAAAATTTGAGGCAAAAGCTAAAAGCGGTTCTTTAGATTGAAATGTCTGCACAATTTTCTCATTTTGCGTGAAAACCAGAAATAATTCTGGAAGAACCTTCACAATAAAAAAGAGCATAATTTATGGCTCTATCCGACAAAGACAACTACAGCTTGGCAGCCCAATCAGTTTTCAAAATTTGAGGCAAAAACTAAGAACGGTTTTTTAGATCCAAATGTCTGCACAATTTTCGCATTTTGCGTGAAAACCAGAAATAATTCTGGAATAACCTTCGAAATAAAAACGAGCATAATTTAAGGCTCTATCCGACAAAGGCAACTAGAGCTTCGCACCCCAATCAGTTTTCAAAATTTGAGGTAAAAACTAAGAGCGGGTCTTTAGATTCAAATGTCTGCACAATTTTTGCATTTTGCGTGAAAACCAGAAATAATTCTAGAATGACCTTTAAAATTAAAAAGAGCTTAATTTAAAGTTCCATCCGACAAAGGCAACAAGAGCTTGGCAGCCCAATCAGTTTTCAAAATTTGAAGCAAAAACGTAGAGCGGTACTAAAGATCCAAATTTCTTCAAAATTTTCGCGTTTTGCGTGAAAACCAGAAATAATTCTAAAATGACGTTTGCAATGAAAAAGAGGATAATTTAAGGCTCTATCCGACAAAGGCAACTAGAGCTTGGCAGCCCAATGGGTTTTCAAATTTTGAGGCAAAAACCTAGAGCGGTACTAAAGATCCAAATTTGTTCACAATTTTCGCATTTTGCGTGAAAACCAGAAATAATTCTAGCATGAACTTCGAAATCAAAAAGAGCACAATTTAAAGCTCTATCCGACAAAGGTAACTAGAGCTTGGCAGCCCAATCGATTTTCAAATTTTGGGGCAAAAACATAGAGCGGTTCTGAAGATCCAAATTTCAGCAAAATTTTCGCATTTTGCGTGAAAACCAGAACTAATTCTAGAATGACGTATGAAATCCAAAAAAGCATAATTTAGGGCTCTATCCGACAAAGGCAACTAGAGCTTAGCAGCTCAATCAGTTTTTAAAATTTGAGGCAAAAACACAGAGCGCTACCAAAGATCCAAATTTCTTCACAATTTTCGCATTTTGCGGGAAAACCAGAACTAATTCTAGAATGATGTATGAAATCCAAAAAAGCATAATTTAAGGCTCTATCCGACAAAGGCAACTAGAGCTTGGCAGCCCAATCGATTTTTAAAATTTGACGCAAAAACATAGAGCGCTACTAAAGATCCAAATTTCAGCACAATTTTCGCATTTTGCGTGAAAACCAGAACTAATTCTAGAATGACGTATGAAATCCAAAAAAGCATAATTTAGGGCTCTATCCGACAAAGGCAACTAGAGCTTAGCAGCTCAATCAGTTTTTAAAATTTGAGGCAAAAACACAGAGCGCTACCAAAGATCCAAATTTCTTCACAATTTTCGCATTTTGCGGGAAAACCAGAACTAATTCTAGAATGAT